GGAGTCACTGAGAGCTACTGGCTGCAGGGCCTGAGTAGCTTAGGCCCAGAGTAAGGCCAGGCCCAAGAGTTGGGCGATGTCTCTGAGACTGAACATGAGTCATAATTGTGCACAGGGAAATATGAATTCTTAACAGAGAACATAGTTTAAAGAAGATATAAGATAAGTAAGTAAATTCTAGACAGAATCCAAAAAGGTTAGGCAAACATTCAGTGAAGAGCCAAACAGCAAGCCACAAGTGGACCTTCCTAGAGCAAAACATGGATTGGAGGCCCAACCAGTACAGAACACAGTATAATTCTGTATGCCAGTTATCTGTAATGATAATAACAGTAGAAAGGCATAATCTCAGTGACCAGCAACTATGATATCAAGTTCAGATAGCACCAACCATAAAATATTTCTGTTGATGATAAAATGACAATATTTTCTCAATTTCCCCTTATTTCCTTTATTTTACTCACATTTGCTCAAAATGAAAACCTGATACAGAAGTTGATCTTAGGCTGACACAAGGCTTATGAAATGTGGATGCAAGCTGCTAGAATGAAATGAATGCATGAGAGACAACAGAAAAATCAAGATTCGACTCAGGCTTACCTACTCCCTTTTGAGAGAGTCTGCAACAACATAGATGGCCCTAGAAGTTATTATGCTGAGTGAAATAAGTCAGACAAAGATAAATATCATATAATTTCACTTATATGTGGAATCTAAGGAACAAAAAGGACAAACTAATCAAAAACAGACTCACAATTATAGTGAACAATTTGGTGATGGACAGAGGGGAAGAGAGTTGGGGGGCTGAGAGAATGGGGTGAAGGTTTAAAGAAGTACAAATTATTATTTTTTAGGCGAGGCAACCCTTGATTGGACCCCACAGATTGCAAGGACCTTATCAGTTTACAATCCCTTATTTTTTATTTTTTACATCTACAGCATCTGGTCTTCCTAGGTGGTCTCCCATCCAAGACTAACCAGGCCCAACCCTGCTTAGCTTCCGAGATCAGACAGGATTGGGCTTGTTCAGGGTGGCATGGCCATAGACCAAAGAAGTACAAATTAGTAGCTGATGGATGGTGAAGGGGATGGGGAGCACGGCACAGGGAATGCAGTTAGCGTGAGTACATTGGGTAGGTGAAGGGTCAGGGTCTGCAGGGAGCAGTTCGGGGGATCGTTTTACGAACTATATAGATGTCTAACTGATGTGCTTGAAACTAATTTAAATAAATAAATTTTAAAAATTAATGAGCCAATACATGTATAAGTGGAAAGAATGTATTTTTATAGTTGTTACATTTGTTGGAATATGAAAGTTAAGTTGATTATGTATCTAGGAGAACTATGACTTTCACTTAGATTTGTTTTGCTCTGCTTTCTGTTAATCATTGGGAGAAAAGTCATATGGTCTAGTATTTACTTCAGGTAACTGAGGATGATTGAGACATGTTCTAGAGAATTTTCTAGTATTACTAAGTCTTTACTAAATTTTTTCATATAATTACATGATTTATGAGTATAGAATGTGAGAAGTATTTTTCTTTTCAGAATTAATAAAGCATTTGTTACTTGGAAATGGAATGTTAGAAGAATTAAGAAAGAGAAAAGCAGGTAAGTCTTGATATGCAATATATTTATAAAAATTTCAAGAGGAAGCATTATTTTAAATATGTAGTATAGAAGCAGATATAAATTAGTTTTTACTCAGTGATTGGAAAGTCACATTTTATAACCTTTATGATTAAACTTAACCCATCTAATTTTTAAAGATTATTAATATTTTATATATATTAAACACGATTATATATGTGTGTGTATATATATATACATATATAATATATATACACACACACACATGTATATAAAATAAACATTTATTATATGTCCTGGGATGCCATTCTGTGGTGTGAAGAAGTCACAGTGCTATGAAGAACCTATGATGAGTTCTCTCGGTCACTTGATCTAACTTTCTGCCTCCAAAGGGGGAATTCATTAAGTAATCCAAGATAGATGACAGCTAATTCTATTTTTAGGATATCCAGCAGCCAAGTTTTGTTGTTGTTATTAAACCTGAGATAACTGCGGTTGAAATGCAGTTGTAGGAATTGATACAAAGAGACCCCATGTGCCCTTCCCCGAGTTTCCTCCAGTGGTAACATCTTGCAGACCAATAGGACAGTGTGACAACCAGGACAGCGACACCAATAGAAGGAAGATCCGGCACATTTCTATCAGCTCCAGACCCCTCACGTCACCCTTTTACAGCCATACTCATTTCCTTCCCACTTCTACCCTCTCCCTAACCGGTGGCAAGAACGAATCTGTTCTCCATTTCTATCATTTGGTCTTTTCAAGACTGTATGTAAATGCAAGCCTGCAGTACGGAACCTTTGGGACTGATTCTTTTCACTTAGCGTAACTCTGGGGATTCATCCAAGTTGTTACATATATCGGTTGTTCTTTCTTATTGCTGAGTAGCAGTCCGTGGTATGAACCTACCAGTTTCTTTAACCATTCACCTGTTGAAATGCAACTGGGTGTTTTCCAGTTTTTGTTTATTACAGATGAAGCTGCTGCCAACATTTATAGACAGGTTTTTATGTGAACGTTAAGTTTCCATTGCTCTGGGGTATATGCCCAGGAGTGCGATTGCTGGGTCATATGGTATTTGCATGTTTAATTTTTTTTAAGAAACTCCCAAAGAGTTCCAGAGTGATTGTATCGTTTTTCATTCTCGCTAGCGATCTGTGAATGATCCACTTCTTCCACATACATGCCAGCATTTGGAGTTGTCACTATATTTTATTTTAGACATCTGGTAGGCGTGTAGTGATATCTCATGGTGGCTTTAATTTGCATTTCTCTAGTGACTAATATTGTCGAATATCTTTTCATGTGCTTATTTGCCATGTTCTTTGGGAAATGTCTCTTTGTGTCTTTTGTACATTTTCTAATTGGATTATTTGTCTTTATGCTGTGGAGTTTTCAGAGTTCTTTTTATAGTCCAGATACGGTCCTTTGTCGTATGGTTTATAAATATTTTCTCCCAGTCTTCGGCTTGTCTTTTTTTTTTAATCCAGGAGTATTTACTTAGCATCTGCTACGTGACAGGCTTTAGGCTTGTAGTTAACTCGCTGCTTGACACTATAAAGTCACTCTTTGGCCTCACTGCTTTGCCGACTTGGACAAGCATGTGTATGAAGACCTGAGCCTTTACTCAACAGCGCCCCCGTGTGGAAGCAATACCTTATTTCTTTCTCTCTGCTCTTTTTCTCTCATTCTTTCCTTCTGTTCTTTCCAGTGCTGTTAGGAGTGATGTGGCTCACCCTCGTGACCGTGAGCAGACCTGCAGAAAGGGGCGGAGAAGAGAAAAGGGCCATCTTCTCTGTGTTGTGATATAGGTGGTTAGAGAACTGATGAAACATTCTCCAAATGGTTTCCAATCTAGTTAATCGTTTCCCCCGTAATTGGGGAAAATTAAACTGAGGAAATTTAAACTTAATAAAGAGGGGGAATATAATTCCGTTTGGATGTCACCATCTGCTATTTCAGAATTCTTAGAACTCAGTGGTATAACAGAATAATATCATCACTTGTTTCTCCCTCCTATTTTGTTCTTACTCAACACACTCAGCACCAAAATCTCGCCGTCAGCATTGGGCAAACAGAACTGTAGGGTTTACTAATCTTTATCGATGCCATTTAAGATGGATAGATGTAATACATATTAACTATAGGAATAGGAGACAAATATTGCTAGTTATCTCTATGTTCACTTCATTCATTTTGAAGAAGAGATAAGTCTGTGGAAATTTTTTAACTTCCAGGTCGTTTTTGTACCACCATCTTTTCTGGGCTCATGAATTATTTCAGGGATGTTTGCTTTACATAAAGGGACTTTGCGAAGATGCAGTTAATCTCAAAAATGGTAATGAACATGAAGATAATCCATCTGCCATATGCCTTGTAAAGGTGGGTAGAAGTATACTACTACAAGTTAATATCGGTATATGTTCACGGGGATTTAGCTGTATAGGACATATTAACTAGTTTATGTATACATAAAGAACACATGGAGTTTTGAATCAAAGGAATACAGATATCTAGATCCATAAGTAAACCATCCCTATGGATGACTGATGTTCTCAAATATCTGCAAAGAACATTATTCCCTCGGGTCGTCAATTTTAATAGTTAATAACATTCTTTATAAATAATTTCCTCCTTACGCTTGTCTGTTATGAGGCCCTTTATTTTCAGAGCCCCAAATCTGCAATAGAATTTACAAATAATCAATTACCTCTAATATATAATTGATAGTAGCTAACTTTCCCTCAGTATAGCACATCAAGAAATTGTCATTGAAACTCAGAGGTTTCGGTTAAATTTATGAATTCTCCTGTTCCACAATTCTCAGAGCGATGGTCTTAATGAATGATTTCATTTATATAGAACAGTTCTTTCAAAGAGGTTAAGTACATAGAAGTATAAATTTTAAGTTTAATGCATAACCGAGCAGGATTCTAACAGCTTTTACTTCACTTACCCGCTGTGCGGAGGAGATACTGAAAAGTGAAATGGATAGTCACCTAGACTTAGAAAGAGAAACAGCGAAAGGGCTTGGACAAATTATGAATTTGACAATCAGCTCCGGTAATAAGATTAATACTTGTAAAACAGTTGATTTTTGGAATCGGTTATGTATAGTGACTGATACATAAAAGTGATAACACATTTTTTTGAGTGAATACATAAAAGAAGTAATGAATAAAGAATTCATCACTACAGATGAAGTATATTTTGTATAGTCGTATTAGCAATATTAATGTCTCCAAATGATTAAGTAGAAGACGTTTCACAGAGGAGTATTTTTGATACGGTTTTGACGTAGAAGGAAATCGGTTGGGCGGCTAAGATAATAGCTTTGCTTTATTCATGGCCGAGTGACAGAATTGATCAATTAACTCCATGATGGGTGGTCAGGCAAAGCATACTTTAGAATACTTTAGAATATTTCTGAAGTCTACGCCTAAAATGCTAATGGCTGACAATGCTAAATAGAGTGACTAAGAAGGGATGTTGGGGCTCTTTCCTAGACACCTTAGGCTGTATCGGTTTCCCCCCCAGAGCATCAAGGGGAAGGAAACAAACCTTTCCAGAGGATATATACATATTTGTTCATTACCTGCTCTGCAAAGACAATGGAGATGAAGTAGAAAAGAAGCACTGTTACTTTCATTCTGCTTACAGGCCATTGGAAGGGATCCTTCTCTACATAGAAAAACGATAACTAATTCTGGAGGCCTTCCCTCCGTTTTGCCCATCATTCTTGCTCACCGATTAGCAAACTACATTAACTAACAACACATGTGGAATGGTCACGCCTTTGGAATTGAAGTTTGGGCATCTTTCCTGAAGGAAGGCTGTTACGAGCCAGGCCACGCTGGATCGAAGAGCCGGGCGGGGAGGGAATGGGGCATTCAAACAACAATTGAATGTTGTTTAATTTGAGGGTTGGCTGGGGCCAAGAATAACAGAATAAGGGAAAAGTAGGGCTAAGTGAAGCTGCCCTTAAGACGGGGGGCACTCCTCGTAGAGGTTGTGAGGGCCGTTCTCAAGAATAGGAGTTTCTGAGACTGGAGAAGCCGGGGTCAGATGGAGGGGAGAACAGAGCTTCATAGTTTCAGAGTCAGGAGAACTGAGCCTGGGGTCAGAAATCTGAAGGCGGCCAACTGTACCTTAGGACCGGGGTGGGGCGGGGGTGGGGGCGGGTTCCGCATGGCTGGGGACGCATAGAGGAGGTAAGGAGGATGAAGCAAGTTTACGAATGCGTACGATAGTATAAGTCAGGGGTTAATACCATGATCGCAGGTCAGAGGGCGCCGGTACACACTGCAGGGGCGAAAGCACACCTTTACGGGGGCAGGAAAGTCTAGAACTAGATGAGACCGAACGTGGGTGCGTGGGTCATTTTATCCAAACTTTCACTTTCAAATGACAAACTAAGTCCCAGAGAAATCATAACTTATACAAGGCCACAGAACCAGCTAGAGTTGAGTCTTTGATTATGTTTCCTATTCAAGAATGGTTGTGTGGGGGGGAGGAGGAGCAGTATTTTGAATGCTTAGTAAAAATTAAATTATTTTTTGTCCCACCCTTTTTGGGGGAGGGTGCAGTGGGGGGTGCTAATAATCTACATTTTTAACAAGTCCCTTAGGTGATTCTTCTGCAGAGTAAACTTTGAGAACTATTCTGAAAACATAACTACTGAAAGTTTCTGAACGTTATTTTAGGAAAAGTAATGTGATGTTGGTTTGTGGGAAAAATCGAAAGCGAGGAGATAGATACAGAGTTAAAGGCATCGGGGAGTATATACTGGAGGAACGTAGGTGGAAGCAATAAGGACTTCAATTAGTAAGATCAGAAAGGGAGGTTTTGAGACACGTTTAACTGGAACAATCAGGACCCGAAATCCAGATATGGGACCAGGAGAGGGAGAACACAGACTTAATCCAAAATTTAAGGCTAGAGCAGTATTTTTCCATTTTTTAAAAAAAAATTTTTGGGAAGCATACATTTATGAAGTATTATAGTATGACTAGGGATAATGATATCTGCTTATTTATTGAAGAAAATGTAGTTTGGCAAGAAAATTAACATGAGGTAGGAAAATCAAGAAAACCCAGAAGGGAGGAAGAATGGTGGGATATGGACGAATGGATGAACCGTCTCGTTCTGTATTGCCAGGGAGGAGGGCGGTAGCACGGTCGATGGAAGTCTCTCCATGCTGGATTCCAGAAAAACTCAGAATAACATCGACCTTATTTGCATTATTTCATTTTAGCCTCTTTATCTTACATTTAGTGTTCATGTTTTTAAGCTTTACAAGTAATCAGGACTTCAAGGTAAAGCAGTTTCTGGGCCTCGTGGCTCCCCTGGGTTCATAGATATTTCAAAAATACATTAACTCTTGAATTTCTCTGCTTTGACATAACCTGAGTAACAGTTAAAATAAGAATATGGTTTTTTTCTGTGTTTTATCAAGATTTAGGTAGATTTAAATAAGGGTATTTGAATATGATGCCTGTATAAGGAATTATAGTATATACGACATAACATGGAAAAGAAAGTATACATACGCTCTTCTTTATGATAGGAAAAGATAGCCAAAATATATCTTTCGCTTTTTTAAATGAATGACTTTCCAGCACTCAACATTTGCTCTCATTTAATTAGCTCGATAGGTCTCGAACGTATTCTCTGGATGAATTTTGTGAAGAACAGTTACGGCAAGCTACCCAGGCATTGAACCAACTCGAGGACATCAGGGATAAAGCTATTTCCGATGTGAAAATTACAATTTTTAAGGTACTTCCTTAATTACCTTCTTTTAAAAGGTTTTTATGTACAGACTGAAGCAATTGCTCCAGGTGAGATCTCTGAAAAAAGTATCGGGAGTGGGCAGCCGGGGAGGGGCACAAAGGTGATTAATCAACCAACCAGCTAAGCTAGCGCTGTGTGTTTACGAGGTACAGCATGAGGATTTTTCCAAGTCTCATGTAGAATGCAAATATATGTGCATATAAGTATATACGTGTGTGTATAAATGCATATCTATGCATATTGACATACATGCCTTCGAGATGCTCAAAATATAACTTGTATTGACATATAAAAGGAAATATAATTTGTTACAAAGTTCAGTGTTCATAAGACAAAAACTGATTGATTGCTCAGGAGAAATATAAGTAGATGAGATAAAACTTCCCTCAGGATTTTAGAAAAAGGACTCAATAATACAATGAATAATGTCCTCAGAACATGGATGTGCTATGACTCATTTCACAGGATCGTTTTAGATAGCTTCCCTCTATCAGAAATGACAGTGCATGGCACATGACTCCCAAATGCAGCCTGGTTAGGAACCAATGCAATACCATGTGATTATGGACTTCCTGCATCTCTCGGCTGGTTTGGCTGAATCCAGATGGATATTTGAGGCTCTCTGGAGGAATAAATGGACTGGGTCTCCCTTGACGAATTTTCAGATGTCATTTCTCTGACTTGAACCTTTGATAGATACAGAGACCAAGGCAAGCAGAGGTGGTGGCCAGAACACTTGGCTGCTGGGGCTATCTGCGGGTACCTGTGTGGTGGCAGGTGCCAGTTGGAGGTGCACAGAGTGGCGAGGGCTAGGGCAGGCTGCATTGGCCAGGCCGACTGCAGGTGCACTGGTAGCTGCTGGGACCTGGCCGTCAGTGTGTACCGCTGTGGCTGGTAGGTCTCACCACAGATTTACGGCAGTAGAGGCCAGTGATGGGGGCCAGGCAAGGGACATGCGGATGTTTAGATGGCGAGGCTAAATGCAGGTGAGCACAGTGGTGCGGGCCAGAGACAGGATCTGAGCTGGGCCCACAAGCAGTTCTGGGAGCCCTGGCTGTCGTGCGTGCACTCCTGTAACTGCAGCAACTCCCCTCAGGCAGGCACATGTGGTAGTGGAGGCTGGTGGCAGGTGGCAGGTCAGTGGCGTGTAAGAGCACAGTAGGTGCGGCTGGCCATGAGCACGTGCATGATAGCGAGGGTCTGCCATGGGGTTCCAGGCTGGTGTCTCGCACTCATTCAGCCAGAGGCCTGGGCTGGCTGCCGGCGTGGTTCCCAGGTTTCGGTGGGGTCAGGCTGGAGAAGGCAGTGGGGAGAGGCTCAGGCAGTGAAAGCTGGTGAGATCTGCTGGGGGTTCGCGGCAGCCGTGCTGGCCATTGTTTCCTTTCTCAGTGGCAAACGCCGCTGCGTTTGTTGAGCAGCTCACTGTGAACCATGGTCGCTCCTGCCGTGCGGCTGCCATTGGCGGTCCCCGTGTATCCTCCTCGTTCAAGCCATCTCTGCACATCTCAGCCTTGCTGGTCCGGGTGGAGCTAAGTCAGAGCTGGGACCTCGGTGCAGTGCCGTAAAG